TCAATTATTTATCATTAGTTGTCATTAGGTGAGCATTTGGTTGGACATGATCAATTATTGTACTCTAGAATGATCCATGTGTACTATATATGTGTGTGTTCGGATGAGTGAGGATGCAGCAAAAGAAAAATCACTTCAAATTTCTTATACATTATATCATTCAGCATCTATTTTCCATCAATATACATTACATTTAAATCTTCCTCCTATTTACACTTTTGTAAACATTATTTAGATATCAACATTTAGATACCAACAATTTATTATCATAGGTATAGTTTACAAATCATATTTTATAAAACCTATGATTAATATGGTTTAAATACAAAGATTTTTTAAATCCAAAAAAATGGATTTTTGTTCAAGAATGAAATTCTATTGGAACTGTCCATATCCGGTTCATTTTTAGAACCCTATCACACCCCCGATCTGATGAAATAGGATGAATTGAGACAGTATTGTGAAATTATATATTTATTCTATTAATAAAATAAATTAAGAAAAACAATGTTAAAAAAATTTGCGGGCACCTTGGTTGCTGCCTGTAACGGTTTGGCGTGACTAACTTCACAACTGCTTGGATCGACTAGGCCACGCAGATTGAAAATCGGAGTACTCAGGTACAGTGTAGCGCATAGCCCAATTAGTTTTAGAACAATGCTCATTGGTTTTTTTAGTATTTTTCATTAATGAAAAGATAAAACAATAGCTACCTTATTATAACAGTTTTTTCCATATTATGCGATGATAGCGATTCGCAATAACTGAGTATATCACAATTGATTTCTGCATATTTCAGAAACGATAACTGTCACACCATCGGATAAGAGTTTCAATGTATAGAGTGCACTGTAATGGTTTTCTACGTGTTCACAATCAATAAAAGACTATCTCTTTTACAAGTGGGAGTATAGTACTAAATAACCCAATTTTGGGTAATTGAAAACAATATGTTGCATTATTTAGAGCTACAAACCGGAAAAACTAATGTTATTAGTTTTTAATGATGAGAATTTTAATTATAATAAAACTACGAATGTTGTATGCAAAGAAGTTTACATAATATCAAGATTTTTATGATATTGGTTTGTTTTATTGATTATTAAAATAACTAAATTTATCTTCATAAATTCGTTAATTTTTTTATATACTGTACTGTAGTGTAATAATTAATGAATTTTTTTTTTCGGTAGAATAATTAATAATATTTTTAAATTACTTATACCTTTATTTTTTGAGCAGTCCATGAGCACGAGTTGATATCTAGTACGTATATTGTTGACACCCAAAATCTGTACACCTGGATTAAGCCTGCTAAGTCATCTATGGCATGGATGATGATGATAAAATCCCCAGGGCCAAGGTACTAAGAACATTTCGGCCTAGAAGGAACGCCGACCTCAAATTCGGCCTCTCCGATCCCTCAGTACGACCTCGCTCAGACTATCCGGACCATCAAAGTCACCTCCTCATGTCGGCCAGAAGCAAGGTTTCCTCGTTGTCGGTCTCTACCGAGTACTAGTGTGGATGGAGTTGTCGCTCAAAACCGCCCAGGCTCTGTTGAGCCCGTTGACCGTGGACCTTGAACCGACACATGGGTGTACCCGATCTGGCTCAGATTCATGTTCTACACAATTGAACCGCCGGTTCCGGTTCTGAACCGTAATCGAAACTTGCGGTTCGACGAATTTAAAGTTTATTTTTTTTTTATCAATTTTTATATATATATATATATATATATTTAATTGTTTGATTCGACTGGCGCACCGATTCTGAACCGTGAACCGCGTATTATCAGACCGGTTCAAGTTCACAAAAAATATGAACCGAAACCAACAGTTCCCAGAGTTGGAACCGGTTCGAAATTACAATTAGATCAACTGTTGCTATTCGG